TAGTCTGTTTTTCTCATTTAGGAGGTAAAACAGCAAATGCATGATCTCCCTTAAGTTGCTCCATGTACTTGGACACAAGTCCAAACACTCCAGAAATGTGCTCAGGTACTTCACCCTTTAGTACTTCTTGATAGGTAATTACCAGAGTTTTATATTTAATTCTAAACTCCACTGGTAGATAATGGAGACAGGCCAACACTGAAGTAATGTGCTCCCTGTGCTTTCTCTTTGTTAGATGTTGAGCTGCAGTGTTTTGAACCAGCTGAAGGCGAGCTGCAGTGCCTTGGCAGAGGCAAGCATATAGAGAATTACAGAATCTTACTTAAGCGTGACACAAAAAAAGACACAAAAGCATGGATTAATTTCTCAGCACTTTAAAGAAGGGAATATGTCTCATCCCAGAATTATTTCTTAACAGGAGAAAGCATGACCGTTTGTTAATATGTGTGAAAAAATTCAGAGAGGAGTTATGTGACATTAAACCAAAAGAAAGCCGGCCGTCTGCCAGGTCGGATGTGGATTCTTACTCTTTTTTAATGCATGCATTATTTTGCATCTGTTTTACTTTTTGCAAAACAGACCACAACATGAGAACAGCGACAAAACCATTTTTGTATTCACATCGGCGAGAAGGTAACCAGTTGAAGACTCAACTTTACTCCCAGTCTGACTGCATTTGATATAACTAATTGTGACAACAGGTGAGGGTGTGGGAACAATGGATATATTTAGGAACACAATGAGGAGCATATTAACACTATAAAAAAGATGCAGGCACACACACATGAGACTTTCATGAATCCATCGCCACAGTGCATGCTGGCAGGCTCCCCTACACAACGACCCCAACACTTCTATATTGATGGATGTATGAAAAACTTTTGATGCAGTTGATCGTGTTAAATTCTGTCAGCTTCAGGAGTGATGTTCCTGTTTAAGAGCTATTATCAGACGTCAGTAGGTTATATGACATAGATAATCTGGATTCTTTATGGTTATGAAAAATATGAAAAATTCTGAAGCTTGTGCTGCTCATCATTTATATACATTATTATTTTTTTGCATAATGGTCCAAGTACATCTGTATGCTGACAACATCATTTTATCATGTGTTACTGATTCTGAATCATGAATTCTGACCATAGCCCTGGCGGTTGGTTTAGACCATGTGGTCTTCTCTGCCCTATGGTGGATTTGTTTGGTGGGACAGAGCGCAAGGTTTGTGACCATGTCTTTTTGATTGACTACTAGTAGTCAGGCTTTAATTCAAATAAAAGTTTGATGTTTTTTAAAGAAACAAAATCTGCTGTAGGTGATGGTGATGTTATTTAAATACATGCTGCTTAGATTAAGTTAACATTTCTACTTTTAATGGTTCATTACACTAACATTTTGTATTCTTAAAGAAGCTCAAGACAGTCGTGGAACATGTCTGTCCTTCACCCAATTCTAAAATGAAATGTAAATCAGCAACCATCATAATGTTTGGAGGAGAGGAGCACATAATAGGTGTTGAAATTAAGTAACTGGAACTAATTCCTTCTTGTCCTGTGACGAGCATGCTTTACAAATCTTTGTACCATGCATGACAAATAATATCAAATTGTTATTCCATTTCATTAATTCTGGGAACTTTTAGTTAATTGCACGTATTGTTTCATGCATTGCACAACTGCAGTACATCTGAGTGTGCGTACATGTCCATGCTCACCTTATTTCATGCAGTCATGAATACACGTGTATGTGCAAAAAAAGATTAATTCGTCATTAGCTTCTGCAAAGGAAAAAAGGGAGATTAAAAGATACCATTGATGCAGCTGTGGCTCTTCACTTGTCATCTTTAGCTGTGGTCTACTCAGGAACTTTTACAGGTGAGCCTAAACTTTGCTGCGGTGTCCAGGTGTTCCTTTTTCCCCCACCATCAAAAAAGTGTGAGGTTCTTCAGTCAGTGTCATTGACCAGTGACACTGGCTTAGATCCGCTGCACAGTGGCTGCCCACTGCTCCCTTGAGGGATGGGTTAAATGCAGAAAATGAATTTCGTAAATGTATGTGTATGTGTCAATAAAGTATACCTTACCTTACCAGTTGTAAAACATGTTCAAAGCATGTTCAAAGATTTTCAACATCTCTATAGATGTGGTTACTTTCAGGCAGGTGCTGACATCCTGGCCATACATTTGTACCATACTTTATTTATTAACTCCAATATTATTTTAACTGTCCAGTCTGATAATGGAACAAAGAACTGTTGACAATGTTGTGAACTGATTGTAAAGAAGTGCAGGACAAAAGACTATAGAAGTGATTATTTATCACCGAAGATGTCACCACAATCAACAAAACAAGAATCTCACATGAAATGTCACTTTGATTCATTGTCAGTGAGATTTAAATTGCATCTGTCAAGGCTCTAAGCCAATTCAACTACATCTGTAATAATTCATCTCACAGAGTCACACACACACACACACACACACACTTCGAGGTTCTTATTCAGCTGCTGTGAAACTGATGGTTTTCTGCCTTCGGTGGGTGTTGAGAGTGCATGTTGGAGGAAATGTGGTCGATGCTTTGTTCACAAAAAGCAACTCGTCTTTGCCACACACACACAGGCATGCTGAGGCTGAGATGATTTATAGCCAGCCATGTCTAATGGATTGCTTTGGCACTTGAGAAATTATGAAAAAAATTAATTAGCCTTTAGTGACCCTGCTGTCCATCTGCCGCTCCCCCCTCCCCCCCCCCCTCTCTCTCACACACACACACACACACACACACACACACACAGACGTACACAGTGACCCTGTTGCTTGGCTGCTCACTTTAGATGTAATTACGGTCTAAATGGGTTGTGCTTACCTGTCACAGATTTCTTGCCACTAAATAACATTAAAATACCTTTTTGTTTATCATATCATTAATATACCATGGAGACATTTCAATATAATTGATGTAAATCACCCATACTATTTACATTGAGTATCAACATTTTTATATTAAACTCTTTATCATTCATTCTTTCATGTGCAATGAATGTGCATTTAACATTATGAAGTATATAATAAAATAAACATATAAGCATTCATGTACCATTATTAATTGATAATCAATACATTTTATGTGACTAAGAGATACTTTTAACTGAAATGAAAACTTGCTCACATATATTAATTATAATATATATTTACATATATATAGTTATATATCAAAGTAGGAAAGTGTTTCACAGAATTTTTTAAAAAGTATAAAAGAAATTGTGTTTGAAATAACAACAGACGAAACAACCAGAATTTAAAAACATAAAAGCTTAAAGTTACAAAAAGTCTTTTAAGTCATTTAACAAATGATAATTCTGTCTGCCGCAGAGGCCTACAGACACAACAGTGACGAAAGTAAACCAGTAAGCGCCGACGTGAAAGAAACAAATAGAGAGTGAACAGCAGCTTGGTTCCCTCTCAGTGAGGATTTCAATGAATAGTTCTTATTTTCTATCTCTCTTCTCTCTTCTGGCTGAATTCACTTGGAGGACAGAATGCTCAGCTCAGATGAGGAATTGTGGAGTTTCCCTTATCCTCTGTCCTTCTGCCTCTCCGTGTGTCCTTAACTGCTACAGGATGTAAAAAGAGAATTCACTAGAAATGCCCACCTTACTTTTGTGTCCTCAGCAAGGAAGTAAAAGAATCAAGATGTTTCAACTGGTTTGACAGAATGAGCTAAAACAATATGTAGCTCTCCTCCATTTCAAATAGGATAACAGAAGATAGTCTTTAAATTTGATTGAAATTATGCTTTCCATTTTTGGCAAGCGTCCAGTTCAGACATGAAGACTTGTTATGAATTATTTTGTGCTTTCTGTCTCCTGAGCTCTGAAAACCAGCTGGTGTGAAATAGTCTGTGAGAGTGATGCTGGAGGAGACGTGATTACTGTCCATTCCAAATTAAGTCTACACTTCAGACAGACACAAAAACCTGTGATGTTTATCTGTGTATATTTCTACATGTGTAATTCTGACTGTGGAGAAGTTTTTTTTTTGCATGTTTATAATAATATACAAAACAAAAACATCTCTTCTTTGAGAAGAGCTGCGGAGACAATGTGGAGAAATACTCCCTACCTGAGTGACAGATAAGCAGATGGCAAGGACTGTGGCAGTGTTAGTTCCCCAAAATATGTTGTTGTAAGTGTCCTGAAAAATCACATATATTTCTTACCAATATATAGTCTAAACATCAGTTGTTAACTGGATTTGAAAATTTGGTATGGTTATCTTCAAAGGACAGCTCTTGATCTGAACTAGCGAAAGCGACTGAGATAGTAATGGAGAAGGTGAGATGAGTTTAAACAAAGAGACAACATGACAGATAAACGAAAGAATGACAAAAACAGATTGCGGGAGTGAGTCAGCGAGAGAGACAAAGAGAGACACAGGGAGGGTGAGCAACAGGGAGGGATTATTAGCAACTGTGTGGGGATTAGAGAGCAATGCTGAGGTCTGACACACCAGTGTGATCTCAATCTGGCTTAATGTCACTTGTCTCTCCTCCACTTTCTTTGGTCTGTTCCTCAGGTGCACACCAGCCCATTTAAGTTCACTCCTGTCACATCACTCACCTCTCTCTCCCTCTCTTTTTCTTTCACACACGCATACATGCCTCACAGCTTGCCTCACAAAGCTCCCACATGGCGGTGCTCAGTGAGTGGTACAGTTGGCACACAAGACAGTTTCTACGGATTTTCCACCTTGGATGCTGCAGCAGAACAAATCCAATGTCTTTTTCTGGCTGGCTGGAGATCATGAAAACAGCATTCTTTCCAGATGAAGTGATTGTACCATATAACTCTGTTGAGGCTCACACACATTTACACACTGACTCACCAGCCAAGCTTACTGTTTGTTGAGTGAAATATAGCCCCAGTAAAAGTGCATCGTGTAGTTTTGACATATACTTTACCAATCACATTCTCTGTTTCTGTCTCTTTTTCCACCGCTCCTGCAGATCTGAGTTCGACCTGGACTATGACAGCTATCACGAGGACAGCTATGACAGGTACTGTTAGAGAGCTACACACAGGGGTGGACTGCTAATCTGGCATACCGGGCAAATACCCGACAAACTTTTGGGGCCGATGTCGTTTTATGCTACCTATCGAGATGTGCTACTTGGCAGTTCTTTGCATGCCTATTGTTTAGGGTTAGGGTTAGCGGTATGGTTAGACGTTAGAAATTTTCATCGAGGTAGCATTTTTCGATAAGGAAGCATAAATCGTCAGAACATGTAACGTAAATTATTTACTTTTTTACTGTTTTTAAAAAATGGGCCAACAATGGGCCCATAAAGCATGGACAGTGGCCCATTGGGTAATTTTCTATACTGACATTGGGCTGGCCCAATCACGTCTGTTATTAGCCCCCACCCCCTCTACTCTCTGTTTCTTGCATTGGGGGCCAAAAAAAAAGAAAGTCTTCAGATGGCTGCCGCCAAATGCGCTAAAATAACCAATATGTTTGCTACCGGGGCTGCAGTAGCTTCACCAGCTACACAGGATAAGCGGTTGACGATGGATGGATGGATATTGTATGAGAGCTTATCATGAACTCTTGGCTCTGCAGTTAGTTTGCGTTGTGTGTTTACCTTTTCCATGTTACTGCAGAATACACGCTTGTGCAGCTTATAGCTGAGTACAGTGGTTAGGTAGATGAGGCAGTCAGACTGTGCTCCACTCAAGAGTGGCTCTGTATTATTGGTCTACTGCTGAAATTGCACAGGGACTTTCCTACATCCCCCAGGCCTCACTCATAAACACTCCACTCAGCACATCTGAATAAAAAAAGGCATCCACACACTCACACACACACAAACACTGCCTTTCTTGCACATATCAATGCTCTGTTGCTCTGAGTGTTAACTGTCATCTTTTCTTTGTCTTGTTTTTTCATTTGTTTTGCCTTGCTCTGCATTTTTCTGTCTTTGCTCAGGGGGAACACTCACCACTGATTTTCAATTTGTTTTTAACACAGTGCATGATTATTCCCTGTGCTGTTGGCTAGCAATACTGACAGCTCTTTGTGTGTGTATGTGGGCATATTTATGCGTGTACGCACATGTGTTTGCCTCTGGGTGTGAGTGCGTGGGGGACTGTGTGTGTGCATGTGTGTGTTTTTGTTTTTGTGTTTGTTGTTTGTGCACGACAATATGTGGGAAAGAGAGAAATCATTTTTTCCGCTGTCATCTTGTGCGAACACAAGAGAAAAGTGTCTCTCAACACACAGATAACAGCGCGAGCTGACAAATCTGCTTTCCGTGTGGGGTCTAATCCATAGAGACAAACACTCCCTCTCACACACACTCAACACACAGTCACTGTAATCCTCACTCGTCTACAGTCTCTTATTGTCTGAGCTTCCATTCTCTGAGATGACACATCAAAGCTGGTGTAACAACACATTGTCTATCTGCCCCTGCAAACTGCTCTGAAGGACTATAAACTCCCATAAGTCTTTGGTCTCTGTGTCTCCCCACATGGACAATGCTCAAAGCCCTCTAATCTCACACACTTATGGTGGCCTTCATCGTTATGTGACATTGTGATGTGTGTGTGTTGGTGTGTGAGGACTATGAACGTGCTAACACAGTCTGTGCAGACTTCACAGAATATAACAGAGCAGAAAACAACAGAGAAAACTTTTCAGGAAGCCAGGCTGCGTCTGATTGACTGGCTAACAGCTCAATCAGTAAATCTACATTACTGTTCGACTCCAAGTCCTTGCAGCTGACAGCTTGCTTCCCTGTTGTTGGCTTGTGATATACAGCAGAAGAGCTTTTTAAAGCTTCTGGCTTTGCAGAAACCATTTAGGCTGTGCTCAGACTGTCCTCGATCCAGGTATACCCAGATTGCAACTTGGTTCCGGATGAGATGGATTACATCAATCATAATGCATCTGAAATTATTCTAAACTGACCACTTGATCAGAATCATCTGGGTCTTGTCGTTGACATTAGTTGTAACTTTTTTTGTATGTGGTTGCAGACTGTCTGGAGATGTTATACATCTATAAACTACAAGTGAGACTGGTGGAATCTGTACTATCAGACTTTAAGGAAACACTGCCACTACTGCCAGCTCATCGTCTTATAGTCGTGTCGATTTTAGCGAAAACTATTTCTAGAATTATTGCTATATACAGCAGTCCTAATTGTTCCTACCGGGTTTTGTGAAAAAATACATTTCATTCTATGTGGTATTACATTTTTTCTCAGTCGCTTTGGTGCATTTCTCGAATTATCCTTAATATTTGCAAAACAGTAAGTGCATTTCTCGAAACAGGTAGTACAAACAGCACAACACAGTGGATTACCTGCAAAAGCCCATAAGTTGCTCAAATTCCTTAGTTTATCTCTCAAAAGTAAATCTTTATGTCATTGAACTCATCAGTGCCATCAGAACGACAAGTCATTGTGTCTTTTTTATGAACAAGCAAGTCAAAAGTTTATGTTTAGCCATCTTGTCAATATAACAGCGTACTCTGTAAGTATTTTCTGAAGATTTTTATGACAATGATTGAAAATGCACAAGGCTGCACTTTTATGGCATATATCACTTTCACCAGTACAAAGTTATACATTGCAGGAGAGAGGACAGGAATCACAGCTATGCTTTTACTGTTCGTACTGTAATTTGTTGACAGAGCATGTCATTGTAATACAGAAAAGAAAGAGACAGGACTGTTGCATGGGATACACCCCTTTGGCTGACATTCCAGTCTGTTGTATCACAGATTCTCTTCCACATCACAACAGATACCTTTACAAAAAAATTCTAATAGACATGTATAGAATGTCTATCTATGTATACATTCATATATACAGTATATATACGGAAGCCCTAATCAAATATGTTTTTTACTCCATACTTTATACTCCTTTCCTGTGATAACGGGATAAGTTTCTCGTGATTTCGAGATAACCATAATGGTAACTATAGTGTGGTTAGTTGTATCATTGGTTAACTCACAGCACAGGACTTGTAGTGTCAAGGTTTTGTGTTCAATCCTCATTGAAGACTACATTTTTCTTTTTTATATTTTTCATAATCCTCTTCAACAAAGTTCTTATGAAAAGACTGCTTCACATGCTCACATTACTGTAAAGCACGTGCTGGACTCTGTGCGTTCCGGCGTTTGGTCCACATCCATCAACCTATGGAGTTTTCATTTCCTCATAATTCCCAGGCAGAGGATATTCCTTCTCATTCAGGGGAATCCATGTAACATTACACATTTCCTGACGGCTTTCGGAACCTTTGAAATAGCCGTCGGGAAACGTGTGATTGGATTCCCCTCAGTCTCTTCATAACAATTTTGCTGAAGAGGATAATAAATAACACACAAAAGAAGAAAAAGAAACTCAACAAGAACAGGAATCAAACTAATCAAACTGAGCCTTGTGCTCTACCAACTGAGCTAACCAGTGACACTGGTAATTGCTTTGAAATTATCCTAAAGAAACGCACCTGCCAGCCCCTGTATTCAGCTATGGTTTGTTATCTCATGATCACGAGAAAATTACTTATCCCGTTCTCAGGGGAAAACAACATTCGTTTTATAAATACAGTATATAGATGAGTAGGCACATGGCTCAATACATGGACAGAGCCCAGAAGGGAATGGGTAGTAATACCAGAGGAGCCAAGCACCAGCTAGTGGTTGATAGAGCAGTCACTCGAGACTGCAAGACCAGGCAGACCAATCTGTGCACCGCCTGGATTGACTACAAGAAAGCCTATGACTCATTGCCACATACATGGATATTGGAATGCTTGGAAATGTACAAGATCAACAGGACACTAATAGCCTTCATCAAGAACTCAATGGGGCTGTGGAAAACAAGTCTGACAGCCAACTCAAAGCCAATTGCACAAGTCACCATCAAGTGCGGCATATACCAAGGTGATGCACTATCACCACTGCTGTTCTGCATAGGCCTGAACCCCCTCAGCCAGATCATCACAAAGACTGGCTACTGGCTTCCAAAGTGGAACAACCATCAGTCACCTCCTCTACATGGATGACATCAAGCTGTATGCCAGAAATGAGCGAGACATGGACTCACTGATCCACACTACCAGGATCTACAGCAACGACACTGGAATGTCGTTCGGGACTGGACAAGTGTGGTCGCGTGGTATCAAAAAGAGGGAAGATGATCAGAACCGATGGGACTGAACTACCAGAAGGCCACATTGCAGATGTTCAGGACAGCTACAAATACCTTGGGGTGCCGCAGACTAACTAATACCTACAGAGAGTGAGGCAGGTCCTGAAAAGCCAGCTGAATGGGAAAAACAAGATCCGAGCCATCAACACATACGCCCTGCCAGTCATCAGATACCCCGCTGGTATAATAAACTGGCCAAAGGAGGAGATAGAGGCCACTGACATCAAGACAGGAAAGCTCCTCACAATGCATGGAGGGTTTCACCCCAAATACAGCACCCTGAGACTGTACACCAAGCGTAGCGAGGGAGGCCGAGGGCTAGTGAGTGTCAAGACCAATGTCCAGGATGAAACGACGAAGATCCAGGAGTACATCAGGAAGATGGCCCCCAAAGATGAAGGGTCTTAGTGAATACCTCAGGCAGCAGAAACCCAAGGGTGAGGACAAGGAAGATGAAGAACCTTCATGGAGGGACAAGCCGCTACACGGCATATACTACAGACAAATAGAAGAAGTGGCTGATATCAAGAAATCTTACCAGTGGCTGGAAAAGGCTGGACTGAAGGACAGCACAGAAGCACTAATCATGGCGGCACAAGAACAGGCACTCAGTACAAGATCAATAGAGGCTGTTGGTCTACCACACCAGGCAGGACCCCAGGTGCCGACTGTGCAAGGATGCCCCTGAGACAGTACAGCACATAAAAGCAGGGTGTAAGATGCTGGAAGGAAGTGTGTATATGGAACGCCATAACCAGGTAGCTGTCATAGTGTACAGGAACATCTGCCATGAGTATGGGCTGGAGGTCCCAAGGTCAAAATGGAAGACACCTCCCAAGGTAGTTGAGAATGACCGAGCTAAGATCCTGTGGGACTTCAAGATCCAGACTGACAAACTGGTGATGGCTAACCAACCAGACATCGTGTTGATCGACAAACAGCAGAAGAAGGCAGTAGTGATAGATGTGGCAATCCCAAGCGACAGCAACATCAAGAAGAAGGAACACGAGAAGCTTGAGAAATACCAAGGGCTGAAAGAGGAGCTAGAAAAGATGTGGAGAGTGGCTACAGCAGATTCCAAGTAAAACATCAGAGGTCTCTGTCCATAAGAGTGCAGTCCTGGGAACAGCTAAGATACTGCGCAGAACCCTCAAACTCCCAGGCCTCTGGTAGAGGACCCGAGCTTGAGGATGACACATACCACCCCGCAAGGGGTGAGAGGGGGATTTTGTTTTTATTTTTTATATTACTGCTCATTGTGTTTTGTTACTGTTTACTGGTATTTATTGTAAGATTATTCAACAGAGACTGGTATAATTCATTGTGATCAGCATGACATAAGCAATTGATAATGTAGGAAACAGCAGACAATTGTACATAATCATTTGCATCAGTGTGTCAAGTCATTTGCAATTTGTTCAAAACAATGAGATAGTGCTTTTATGATGTGCACAAGTGACAAGATGATGTGGAGGTTGAACAATTAGTTTTCAGAATTTCAATTCTGATCTGAGAATTGCACCAAAGCAACTGAGAAAACTGTAAAAAGGTATTTTTGTGCCAAATCATTGCTACGTTTACAGCTGCTACAATTAAATACAAACATTAGTATTCAACATTCATAGACATTTGATTGCCCTAGTTCCCACGCATCCTGCAGCTTTGCTCATTGGTGATTGGTTGGTTTTGATCCTGTAGCTGTGTCACCTGGTCATTGGGTCAGTGGGTGTCGAGGTCAGATGTGAGGTTAAACCACTCTTCAACCACAACATCAGCTCTATACATACACACAAGCACAGTGCCGATTCTGTAAACCCTATGGAGTTTGACAGTGATACACCCCTGTCACCAGCACTACTAGCCTGACAGGGAGCTATTGATTGGCCCTGACAGAACCAATTACATTCAGTGACAGTGAGCGACATGGAGCTGTCCACAGGGAGGAGGCAACACCAGCGTGTGTGCACGAGAAGCAGAGATAGAAAATAAAAGACAAAAGGAACATAAAATATATATATATGAATATTTATGTAGGAGATGCTTGAACAGAAGCTTTTCTTTAATGTCACGTGTAATGTCTCTTTTTGCAGCTTGTTATTACACCCTTGTTAGTTCAAGACTGATACCAGAACGATTCTTTTCTTAGTGACTTATATTTAAGAAATATAAACTCAACAATACTCTTTTATTACTTACTACAATACTTTTTTATTGCACTAAAGCCAATGTTCTGAAACGTAAAGTGTCTAAACACAAACAGTTCAGTACAACACATTATAAATGTGACATAATTGTGATATAAATCAGACTCTGATAAGAATAAGAGTAAGACTGATAATCTGACCGGATATTCTATTCCAGCTTTTGTTGCTCGACAGTTGTTGATATGGGACATTTTTTGCTGGTAATAAAACAAGGTAATGAAGTCAACCCTAGTTTGGGCTTTGCAGTATGCCTTGTATCAAATTCTGTAAATGTTAATATGTGAGTGTGAAACCACCTCTAGGTTTAAATGGTGGCATTACAAGCTTTGCATTTTGCTTCTTCATAGAGAACTGAGGCTGTGGACAGCTTAACTTTCTGCAAAATAATCATCTCCTTTGCTGCCCGTATATATGCCCAGTTTAGTCATTTTCACCATGTATCATGCTTGTGAGCAGGCTCTCGTTTATACATGACCACAAACACTTTGACTACATAAATTACGGAGTACCTCACCACAAATTCAGCAACCTTTGTGCATGAACACTGATAAGCTGTTTTTAAATTGCATTTCTAGGGTTTATGACTACCAGCGTGTGCCGGCATCCCTGTCTCCCCTGCCTCCCATGGGACCCAGTCTGGCCAAGCGATCCCGTTCCTCCTCCTACTCCACTGGGCACAGACGCAGTCGAGACAGAACTCACTCCAAAAGCTCCAGAGCTCACTCCACTAGTTCAACTACAGCTAAGTGTGAGTAATATGAATATGAATTACATTAGATGCTGCACATTTATATTGTTTTCTTTTCTGTAAGAAAAGTCAAATGTTAAATATAAAACTAGGGTCATCACATTTTTGTCTGCTTTTAATAGTCACATACACAAAATGTTGTGTGTAGTTTACTGAAGTCACTGCTCATAATTTCTAGGTGATGAAGTTCAAACAGTCAACAGTTTTAACCTCTTTTTCTCTGATACTGCTTTGATGAGACAAAGGGAAAATGAACTGTATTCAAACCATGGCTGCATGACACCAAATCATCAGATCAGAAGCGCAAATAAATTCTGCACATGCTGCCCAAGTACTTCATAACATCAAACATAATGCCAACATGAAGTGTTATAATATAATATACTGAAAATTATTGAATTTGCATGTACTGTTCTTTTACTCTCTGGACTTCTTTCATGGTCACATTATTGTAAAGTAACAGTTAGACTGTTTCAGAAATACGCTTTGCTGTCTTGCCGAGAGTTAGATGAGGAGATGAACCTCTCATGTCTGTACTGTACCGTAAATATAAACCTATAGCTAACAGACAGATAGACAGACAGATAGATAGATAGATAGATAGATAGATTAAACAAATTTGATGTTATGTCTTAATTAGTGAGCTTTAGAGATGCTGGTAGGTGGATTTTGTTACATTTGGATGGAGCCAGGCTAGCTGTTTCTCCTTGTTTCCAGTCTTCATGCTAAGCTAACCACCTGCAAACATGAGTGTTGTTCTTATCTAATTCTCTGCATGAAAGAAAATCAAAAGCGCATTTCCCAGTTTGTCTAACTATTCAGGTATGTAATTTCCTTCTTACACTCTTTCTCTCTCTCTCTCTGTCTGCCTCTGTGTGCGTGTCCCTGAAGTGGGCATGGAGGAGTTGCAGGTGATTAAAAAGGAGCTGACTCTGATAAAGACACAGATCGATGGGCTGCTTGACAGTCTTGACAGGATGGACACACAGAGGAATGACCACAAAGGTGAGACACTCATTCACAAAGACAGTGGAGGCAGGTAGGTGTGAGATCAAATGATAGATAATCTATTCGCACATCAAAAACATTTTAAGGTGGACTCAGGCGATATGCCACTTTCAGATTTCTGCTTGATTAGCTCCACCAGTCACAACCCCAATCAAAATGATTCAGGATCTATGCTGCAGGGAAACTGCTGGATGGAAATACACTGCACCAGCAGCACCACTCCTATTTTACCTGACAAATCAATTATTTCCCTCCAGTCAGGATTTTTTTAAAAGTTGTTGTTGAATCAAGGCCGATTCATATCAACTAGAGTGTGGGTGTCTTGATTTATGGTCGTGTGCAAATTATGGAACATGATGAACAAACAATGTGGTTGAAGAAACTGCCTGAAAAGGGAGAAATATCAGGGAACAACAGCAAATCAGTGTAACTGGGGCAGAAGAGCTGCTGCTGCCCTCATGTGGACATTTTGACACAATACAGTTACTGCACCTGCCAACAAGCAGCTTTATTATCCTTCCTAAGGAAATTGCTTTTACTGCAACCTTAATAAAACTAATCATAAACTGAAACACAGTTTAAATCACTCATTTGGTTCAGTCCAACTTCCTCTGAGTACTGTAGCTTCAGTCGCTGCTACTCTAAAATGTTCTCGTAAAAAAAAACAATGCTCACCTTCAGGAATGTGTACGTGCATGTGTGTCTTCTATCTACTTTGAATGACCTTGGGCGATTGATAGCTCTCATCTTCATATTAATTTATTTCTGGCTTTACTTGATTCCCCTGTCCCTCGCTGTCTAGCTATGCTGTCTCTCGCTTCCCCCTCACTATCTCCTCATCTGTCCTTCATCCTGTCACTCCCACTCTTGTTTTCTGCCAGTCATCTAGTACAAAGTCAGTGGATGTGCACAGACGACCCACAGTAAACATGTACTTTCTTCACACTCCTGTCCAAAACAGAAACAGGACCTGAGCTCCAAACCGTCTTCACTAAGCTCCATGTGTGCATGTGTTGCAGGGTCTCCCCTGAGAGAGGACAGTCCAGCTGGCTCACCGTACGCTTTGTCTGCCAGCAGCCCCGAGCATTCCCTCTCCTCCCTCTCTCCCCCCAGCTCCCGCCATCGAATCCACAGGAAGAGCCCTGACCTGAGGGAGCCTGATGACGATCACCACACGGTAAACTGCCCCTAACGTCTGTGTGCACTCGTTCAGGAATGGCTAAAAAGAGCAAGGCCATCCCTCTTGCTTTTATTGTGCTTACAGCATGATGCTAGTTTCCGGTAATATTACTTAGGTTCATAACAACGGCCTCTCACTTTGAATTTCAAATTATTTACAATTACACTATTTTAAGAACATTTTAGCTTTGGCTTTAAAATGACAAAGACAAGATAACCAGATGTTTCTGTCTTGTGTGGTGAGTGGACATCAAACAGCCACTGTTAAATCATTTTATATTTACACGATTGAATTTTACTTAGTCATTCTGAGCTTGCAGTTTAATGAAATGTCTCTTTGTTTGTCCTCTCACGTCTGTCTGTCTGTCTGTCTGTCACAGATGAGCAACCACAGCTCTGACCCCGAGGAGGAAATATGAGGGATGAAAATGAGAAGACGTGGATTAAGTGCCAAACATGGAGGAAGAGAACAACAACCACCAAGTCAACGCTCATATCAGAGGCTCAACTCCTCCCCAACAAGGGTGTACATATCAGACAACACAATACATTTAATTGTATCACAGCAGCTCGGTTTCTGTGATGAAATGGAATGGAATGAAAAACACTGATGCAGGGGACTTATACACACCAAGTACATGCACATATAAGAAGAATTTGTTATGTGGGACTGAGAGAGGGAGAGTGAGAGAGGGACCTTATCCAGACAGCAATTATAAAAGACAACTGGAAGCGAGGTGGTGAATTCAAAATTTTATAATCCTGCCTAAAGCAGTGGGTGTGCACGTACACCAGTATTCCAGTATTAATCCAAATATTGCTGTAATAATCCAAATGAGACAATAAGAGTTCTGTGATTAAAACATTATGTAAGCGGCTTACCAGTTTATCTTGTTCAAATGAAAAGCTTCTCAAACAGGCAGCATATGCCAGTATCAGACTGTACATACAGTAATAATTAATGTGTAGTCATGGAGTATTTATAGAGGTGCTACAATGTTGCTGCTGCTTCAACAGTTTCTCCCAAGAAAAGGATAAGATATAGGGAATAAGTGGAATGTTGCGTGCATGTACCTCAAACCCAAATTCCTTCTATGGATCTCACATGTTGTTTTTTTTTGGCTTGTGAAAGTAAAAGAAATATACGCTCTTAAATTTGAAGAAGAGGGTTTTTTGCTGATGCTCAACTTAGTTTTTCTCTGTATGGTATACTTCTAAAATATCAGAATTCAGCTCTCCAGACACAAATGACAGTAATCCTTGAGAGACTGAATCGTCACACCGATGATTCAGGAGAGAAACAGGTTGTTTTCTGCTTGTATGAGTAAGCTACTTCTCTGAGTGTGACTCTTGTTATGTCACACCTTTCAGAACCACAAGTGTTTTTTCTTCTTTAAATGTATTTGAGGAATGTTTCCACCAGCTTTCCTCCACCATGTATTTGGCACTTTGAGACATGCAAAGGCCCAGGTCAGTGTGTAATATTGTGTATTATTGTAAACTTTATTGTAATTGTTGAACTGTCTGATTTTAATCTTGCTTTAGGACTTCTCATATGTTTTTTAAAGAAAGCAATGATGTTATTATTATAATTCCTATGGTGTTACATGTTTTTGTTTGCATTCTTAAGATAAGCCAAGTGGAAATACTCATCGTCACAGTAGTAAAAGTATTTTCATATTGAGTATAAATACAGTACATGGGTGTGTGTTTTTATTCTTAAAGACCAAGATTGACATGGAGGAAAAGAGTGAAAGAGGAACAAACATTTCAGGAGAAAATATGAAATAATGAAGTGTTTTTATGACATCATTAAAAAAAATCATAAAAGTACTGTTTCAAGACTGGACCACTAACAGTATGCAACTAATGTGAAGTATAAATCACACAATAACTGGGAGACATAGTGGATAGGCAGATCATGTGATCTCATGTCTCTTCAGTGCACAGATGGTTTGACCAAAGGTCAGTCTTACCCTCAGGCAAAGCTGTGCACAGTATCATCCATACGGTGTGTGCTGCCTTGAGAGCCTCTGTATGCCTGGTTTTGGAGGATATCACCAACACTGCCAAGACTCACACTGCACCAGTTTCCACATAGACCAAGTTGTCCACCTCTAATGGGACGCCATCATCTAAACTCCTTTCACAACCGCCAGGACAAAAGCAGATTTTATAGTGAATCTGTTACTCTTCTCAGTAGCACATGGTATCCTGCTGACTCACTACACTGAAACAAATTCAGCCAAGTTTTGCACAAATATGAAAGAAATCCACCTGCAGTGCAGTCTCTCCACCACCAGCTGTTTCTCTGAAAAGCCATCTGAGAAAGACAAATGAGAGAGGAAGAGAAGGATTGGCAGGGTAAATTACTGAGATACTAACGCCACACAGGGAGAAAATTGTCTACACCAATAACTATCAGTTGGTTTTATGTTACCCTTAATGCAACAATACTTTGTATTTGGTAGGTAAACAGAACCTCTGTCACATAAGCTCAGAAAATGTAGTTTGGCTCCAGGAATAGCGTAGCAAATGGATCTTCTGTTTAGAATATTAACCACAGAACGGTCCTATAGTTCATCATGCCAGAAGAAAAACTACTATATACTATTGCAATCCATAACAAATAATGACTTGATTAAAAAACAAGGAGAACAACAATCTAAATATGGGAGGTTTATGTTGCTTGATGACGATATTCTGCCATATAATTTTCTGTCATGCTCAAAGTTTGGTCCATTAGAATTACAGGAAATCCCAGCAGTGTTTTCGAAGACAGGCACCATGTTTAATTTGTTTACAGAACTTTGCTTTTACATTAAGCTCCAAAAGATCCCTCATATTGAGTATCACGTTGAATTCTCGGCTTAGAATTTCATTATGAGAGATATGTGGAGGAAGTATCACAGCACATGTTTTTCAGTGGATTCATTGGCGGAATTCAAGCAGGAAGTTGTAGGTTGTATTTAGAGTCCATAAACCCATCAGTCACACATACTAATGTCAGAAAAAAGACTTTGTTCCTTTTAATTCCATTAATTGTTGTGGTGATGGCACAATGGATAAGACACATACCCTTGGTGTGAGAGACCCCGGTTCCCACTGTGACCCATCCACCATTGTGTCCCTGAGCAAGACACTTAACCCCTTGTTGCTCCTGAGGAGTGCGACCTCTAACATGTATAGCAGCTGTCAGTCGCTAGGGTTAAAGGCGTCAGCTAAATGAATAAATGTAATGTAATGTAATTGAGCTCATCTGCCTCTGAACCGCCCACTTTGATCATGTACTTCCACTAAGTTCAAAGTGTCACAAAAGGAGCTCTTGCACAACCAATCTTCTGTTGACAAAAAGATAAGCACATGTGTGCTGAATGTCATATTGACTAGGACAGTTTGCATGATGACATTGTGGCAAAATGATGTTAAATAAACCATAAAATTGCATTTTTGGGGTAAAACTGCTGAGCCATTTTCGATTTTATTCATCAGTGCACATGAGTGCCTACAGGCTGCAGCAACTCAAGGGTCATATTTTGCCTGAAAATAAGGTAAGCTCAAAAAGTAGAATATTTTAATTAAACAGGCTATGATGCTTTAATAATTGTTCAAACATGAAACATAAATGTCAAAGCCTATGTCCAGATTTTTACCTACATTTTAGAGTCAGATGTTATTATTAGTATTGACAACTACCTTGTACTGTAGCTAGTAGAGGTAATTACATGTCCAGTTATTCAATTATACTAAGAATTTATACGTAATAAATTACAACTTCCTTATTCAACTTTCTTGTTGTTTTTTCAAAATGTCATAATTTGACATATTACAGAACTAAAAAGGCTGAAAAAGAAAATGACATTATTGTGTTCCGAAGCAGGATTTTCACTTTGCATTCCCAAATAATTCTCATATACTGTACATGCATTGTCTCAATATAATCTTTTTTTCTGGTCCAAATTTGAAGGTTCTCTCTTTAACTAGGCCTAATTAACTTTTCATTAATGATGGAGGAAGATGAAAGCACATGATGAAAACTTTGATTTAGCTGCCCTCTAAATTCAAGATCTGATGTGTAAGTGTTCAGAAATTGTGTGAACTAGATGTGGCTTTTGAAAAACTAGGAATGTATCAATATAAAAAAAATCTATAGTCAAAAAGGCATATCTGTAAATTTGAATATGGGCTAATGTGATTGCTTCAGAATCACATTATCAATTTAAAGTCTTATGTCCATGTTTTGTAGATCACAGCCATAGCAGGCTCAGCCAGTCCTCTGACCACTCATGTGCTGAACACTGCAATGGGTATCCCTGGCTCCAACATGGCCCTCAGCCTCTATCGACAAGACCCCTCCACTAATGCCTGGAGTTTGATAACAGCTGGGTAAAACTCTGAGGACAACAGCCATATGAGAAAAAAACACACATATAGTCACAAAGTATGATCACAGGAAAATCTGGAATATACACTGGACAAACATATGTTTGTTCATGGGTCTTTATATTTTGTCTCAACAGGACCACTAATGAGGATGGACGTTGCCCAGGACTCATCACAAAACAAATATTTACATCTGGTGTGTATAAAATTTGTTTTGACACTGCTCAGTACTGGGAGAGTATTGGAGAGACCTGCTTTTACCCGTATGTTGAGGTAAGCAAAGACTTAAAATGTTATGTGTTGACATGGTAACACGATGGAGGAAGCCATCCGCAGGAGTGCTGCTGATTTACGTGCTTGTGGTGTTACCATATTTTTGTAACTAGATCAGTGAATTTGTATCCTCATTTTAACTGTAATATGCAAACACTTTAGGCTACCTTAATTGTTGATCTCTTTCATGTTTGTTGTTTTGTTGCAGATTGCTTTCACCATAAAAGACCCTGGCCAAAAGTACCATGTTCCTCTGCTCCTGAGCCGTTTCTCTTATAGTACGTACAGAGGAAGTTAGAGATCAAGTGTGATGAACCTCTTGAAGCTATCTATCAGGCAGAGGCAACTCCAGAACATTCATCTCAGCAGCAGATGAACTGTCACGCCTATTGAAAAGACACAATGCTCCATTTGAATGATTCATCAATTTTAACAATAATCAAAAATCACTATAACTATTTTTTTTGCAATTAAACAACCTATTAAATAAGTTATGTGTTGTCAAATGTGTTTGTCGTTTGTAAACATGCATTTAAAGTTTAAAAACATCAACCCTCTTTCTGTACTATTGTATTTAAAATGACACAAATTCACGTTTTATATAAATACCATCCGTCCATCGTCAACCACTTATCCTGCGTAAAGTGGTTGCGGGGGGGACTGGAGCCTATCCCTGCTGACATTGGGCGACAGGCGCTGTACACCCAGGACAGGTCCCCAGTCCATCGCAGGGTTTATATAAATACCATTTAACAAATTATATTACTCTCACAAAAAGCTTATTTATACTTATCAATCAAAATTAAATTAATCGGGCTATAATATGATAAATCATATACATTAAATATAATTCATAAACATAATTTTCATAAGGTCACAACCATAGACTGTGTGGCCGAAATCACCAACTACTCACTATGTAGAGGACTATATAGTGAGCTCGCCATTTTGTAGTACTGCCCGAATGTATAGTGATAATTATTATACCCTATATAGGCCACTCAATGTATCCCAGAATGCATTTTGAAAAGTAGTGTACAACCGATGGTCACTAACCAAGCCATGTATACCATCATGCACTGCGCTGATAGAAAAAACTGATTGTCTGACGGCAATGACGTAATTAACGGCGCCGAAATAACAAGCGGGGTAGTGTCCGAAAGTGTTGTTTTAATAATGCTAGTGAGCTCCCTATATAGTGCTCTACATACTACTCCCTACATGGGGGGTAGGGAGTAGTGAATGAGAGGGGATTTCGGACACAGCCAATATATTTTCTCATGTGATCGTTACTCTGTGCTCTATTGCTTTACCCTGACTTTTGGATCGTTTTTTTCCCGATGTTGATTACACTCCCCTGAGTTCGGTAGGGCCTTGCATCTTATGGGAGTTTAGAGTGCATTCGGTTACATTACGTTACCGCATCCCCTTTTCAGTCTTCTAGGTCTATATTACTTTTGTAAATCATGGCAGACGACGAATTAGAGGCAATTAGGCGGCAAAGAATGGCGGAACTACAGGCAAAGCACGGGGTAAGACAAAACATGAGCTGGGAAGCGTGTTTGCGCCCGCCTTAAAAGGAGATGCTGAGTTCAGTAACGTTATGCTGCTAACGTTAGCTCAACCAGCCACCACAAGTCAACTGTTACTCCTGCGATAGACATAGCTCACTTATGAGATCCATGCTCTGTGTAAATGAACTGTAATTAACTCGGTTGTTAGCGAGATAAATCACTGTAATGTCGAACATCCTCTCACTAGCACTTTGTATCGACTGGACAGCGCACACCCCTCTGACAATGACAGCTTTATGCTAGCTGAGCAAAATGGAGAAACGAGTTCTAAAAACATGTAACCTATTTTGTGTTTGCGGCCATATTCACAAGTAGACCGCAGACTGGTGAGCTTATGAGTTGAGTATTTTCATAGATTGTGTTAGTGAAAAGGCAGAGCCGTTTATGAACGTCACTGTTTCTTTACTACATGAACAGATAACGAAATCACACTAAACCGTAAACTGCTCTGTTATCTGACAGTAATTAATTATAATTAAAGTGTCCAACCCAACATATCTTGGTACATACCACAGTATGTAAAAATAAGTACACTTTTCAATGACTAAATTTAAGGAATCCTTATCAAAAAAATGTAACGTCATATCATATGCTTATTTTAAATCAATCAGGATTTTGTACTCAGATATTGATTAGAATCCACCTCAATGATACCGTATTGGTTGTGCTGTAGTGCTCAGGGCTTTAATCTCTGCCTTTCTTCAGCTTTCAATTTTTGAACTAAACCTAACATTTTCACAATTTAAAGTTAGTATTTCCTGCAGTATTTGTAAAGAGATTTTTTAGAGTGTGCAAAATTCCTGTGGAAAAGCAGCATATCATGTGGGTTTTGTTTTGTTTATGAACACCACTCAAAGAAGAAGAAGAAATGTCCTGGACTCATTTCCATTGTTGTCCCTGGTGTTTGTACAATCCACCAACCTTTCAAAATGGAGACATACATTCATTGTCTGACTTAAGAAATATTAAAATATAGGAACTAAAAAACTGAATAATATGAACAGTCTCTTAACTTTTTCAGGAAGCAGCCAATGCATCATAAAAGGCAACAATTATAGGACAATGTTCAAGGTGCAAACATAAATGTGTAAAAAGGTAAAACATAAAAACAATACAGTTCATTGATATCCATCAACACTGAGATATAGCTTATACAACTACATAGACATTAAGATATAGCTAATGACCTTTCAGATGTGAAGTGGGTAGATGTTAGCGACATACCATAAATTTAGAGATGTGTCTTGGCTCCAGCTGTGCTCATTGTCTTGAACCTGTCAGACCTGGTCTTCATGATTAGTGTCTCACATGAACACCTTTATCTGTTGCCTCAAAACTAGCGTACTGTAGATTCTGGCTTTTCATCAAATTTCAACATATCTTTAGCCAGTCATTACACTGTTTTTGTGAAACATGTGATTAGAACTTTGCTTGCTCATTTTGAGTTAGAGATAGATAGTTTGTGAGGCCTGAGTGAAGGGAATATTGGCTGATATGAAATCCTTTTCCTTATTAGGTTATACATCGATTCTGCAGATAGTTGAATGCAGAAACACAACCTATATGTGATGGTACTGTCTTACATATTCTTTCAGGATTCTTCAAATAATCAGCAAGGAGAGGAGGCAAAACAAAGGTAAGATGAGATTAATTCAAAAGCTTATACGTCTCTATATAACGTCTCTAAGTATAGTTCTTAAATGTACAGTAGTTTTATTGAAATACAGTTCAATTTCTTTATCACTCAACTAAATAGACTTTAGAGAACATTTGTGCATTATCTACAAACTAGTAAAAAAGTTTTGAACACTAACAACCTCAGTGTAGCTGCGGGACACAGCTGGTATTCTGATGGCTTGACAGTTTAATAAATGTAATGATTTCCTAGTTCTGGGGTGGCACGGTGATACAGTGGTTAGCACTGTGGCTTCACAGCAAGAAGGTTGTGGGTTCAAACCCCAGTTACCCCGGGCTTTTTCTTGGTGGAGTTTGCATGTTCTCCCCGTGTCCGTGCTCCGGCTTCCTCCCACCATCCAAAGAAAGCTAGGTTAATTGGTGTCTCTAAAATTGTCCATAGGTGTGAGTGGTTGTTTGTCTATGTGTGGCCCTGCGATCCTGTACACAGGATAAGCGGTTGACAATGGATGGATTACCTAGTACCAGACAGTAGTAGGTCGTGCTGATGTGGTGATATGCAACTTTTTATTCACAGAGAAACAGACATGAGGAACTCGATATTGGCTCAAGTTCTCGATCAGTCTGCCCGTGCCAGATGTAAGTGTGCTCTCAGATTTAAAGGGATCCCTTAGGAATTTGGGTCATGTTCTTGTATAACCAAAATGTTATTTTAAATAAGGGTAAAGCCCTAACAGTAATGCAAAAATGTGTGTGAAAATGCAAGCGTTGAGAATGTTGTAGAAAACAATCAGAACAATATTCTGTAACACACCTTCTGAGTTTTTTGTATTCACTCACTTGACTTCACAAATAAAAGTGTCCTGAAGGATTTATCTAAGAAACAAATGCTCCTCTCTCTGAGTTTTGAAAAAAACTACATAGTGCTCCATTAAAAGTATACTTTGTGATGAATAAGTTGTGCCACACACGTGAACACAAGGTGGTGAAATAATTTTCTTTTTTCAGTGAGCAATCTCGCTTTGGTAAAGCCAGAGAAGGCCAATGCAGTTGAAAACTATCTCATTCAAATGGCTCGTTTTGGAAAGTTAGGAGGAAAGGTATGACAATGACCTCAGACGCTTGAAGCACTAATATTGCTGATATTTTTCCACATGCCAGCAGTGCAATGAATGGATTTTCTCTTTTGTCAGATTTCAGAGACGGGCTTGATCGAGATTCTAGAAAAGGTCAGTCAGCAAACGGACAAGAAGACAACTGTCAAAGTAAGTTCCACTGAAATGTCATCTTATCTTTGAGTCATGAACTGTCACTTATCCATCTTACGTCATTTATGCTCTGTACTTGTTAGTTCAACAGACGGAAGGTGATGGACTCGGATGATGAGGATGATTACTAACTTTAAAAGGGAGCCCTGGAATGAGCCAAGAAATCAGGAGAGGATATACTTTACCAGGACTCTGACAGCATCTTTGACCAGCTGAATCCTGGGATGCCACACTAGCTACTGTGTGTCTCTGGAATCTGCATACCAAGAGGGAAGAGCAGCAAAGTGGAGTTGACATTGTGGCATAAGTGGTGGGGGGTAGAACACACACACACACACACACACACACACACACACACACACACAGTCAAATAAAGTGTTCTTTTGCAATCTCTTCTCAGTCAAGTTGCTGTGAATTTGCACTGCTTGTGTTATACCCCTGACAGCTCATGGCACTGTTTGGCTCCTCTACTTCTTTCAGTAGTTACTCTTTTTTTTTTCTTTATTTTCACCATGCTTGATTTCTGTTCTTCAATCACAAGAAACTAGATGAAACGTACTGCTGCATTTTATTTAGACTGTTCTTTGAATACAGTACACTTGTCTTATTTAGGGACAGTCTTCCATTTGCTTCGGATGGTGAATTTGGATATTTTCTTTTTGCTTACATGTATCTTAAAGGTTTACATAAAAATTCCAAAAAAGCCTTAAATGTTTTTTTTTTTTTTTTTTTTCCTAGTGAAGCATTTCTAAAATGATCAGTTATTATGAAGAAGCGGTTTCCATTTTTGTTTTTTACACAGATTGTGTTCCATTGGGTCAAGGAACACAATTATCATGTTTGAAGGAACAGAAAGACTTAGCAGCATCATTACACTGTGTCTCACCACCATAGGAAACAGTTGACTTACTGTTTCTTTAAGGATGATTGACTTTTTGCTGAATAAACAATTTCAAATTTCTTTTTTTTTTTTTTCAGAAACAAAAGTTAACAGATTCTCAAATGTATCCTACTACTTTTAAAATAAAAAGCATGAAGGAGGAACGTGATTTAAATTTTTTATTTGTAAGAAATGCTCTGTCAAGTCTAATAACACTGCAGCTAATAAGCAAGCTTT